AAAAACCGCAACAAATTCATCAAGATAAGTTTTGAAAATTCGATTCATAAGGTCCATAAATGCTGTAGATGCATTAGTCACTCCAAACGGCATAACAAGAAATTCATAGTGCCCATACCTCGTTCTAAATGCAGCTTTCTCAACATCTTCTGCCTTTACCTTCAACTGGTGGTATCCAGATCTCAAATCAATTTTAGAAAATACTTGTGATCCCTGCAACTGATCAAACAAGTCGTCAATACGGGGTAAAGGGTATTTATTCTTTATCATTACCTTGTTCAATTCTCGGTAGTCAAGCCACAGGCGTAAAGTCCCATCTTTCTTTTTCACAAATAATACCGATGCACCCCATAGTGAAGTACTTGGTCAGATGAACCCTTTATTAAGTAAGTCCTGCAATTATTCTTTTAGTTCTTTCATTTTAGCAATAGACATTTTGTAGGGGTTTTTGAGATTGGCTAGGTGCATGAGATATCATCAATGGTAAACGCTATTTCTCTGTCAACCAATCCCCCTGGCAGTTCATCAGGAAATACATCCAGAAATTCTCTAACAACAGAAATACTATCCATTTCAACATCCACCGATTATTCAATTAAGATACTACATAAATATCTTCCTAAGCAGTTTATATGCTTTCATTGCTGAAATCAGATAAGGTGGAGGCACTATCTCACTACCCACAAATTCAAATTCAACATGCCCTAGCAGTTTAAACACAACTCGTTTTGTTACACAGTTGATAGTGGCACAATATTTTAACAACCAATCCATACCCAGAATTATATCAAAGTGTCAAATGTCCAAGGGTAACAAATCCACATATAAGATAACATTGCCAATTGGCATATCACAAACACGATACACAGGTACATGGTACAGATTCCCCAGATGGAGCAGACACACATAACAAATATGGCAATGACTCTAGGGGTCTAGTCAATCTAGATGCAAATATAGTAGACACAAAGGAATGCGTTGAGCTGAAATCAATTAACACAAAAGCGTCTTGATTGCATATAGAAATAGTCCCTGAGACAACAGCTTCAGTATTCCGTGTATCACCTGGGACAAGTGCAAAGACTCTCCCCTGTCTTATTGTGTCCTTGGTAGTAGCAGGCCTCGTAGTATCACCCAGTTTTGGGATGGATCCGGTTGAACCAACAGCTGGTTTCCCACCTTTTTGCTGTTCAGTTTGGGTGCAATCCCTTGCCATATGCCCCATTTCACCACATCTATAGCACGCCCCGAAAATACGGAAACAAACCCCGCAATGTTTCTTATCACATTGAGTTCATGTTGGTGCCGTATTTCTAGTGGAGCACAAAGTGCTTGAGGACCCCGTGTTTTGTTTCTTTGATAATTTGTTCCTTGAGAACAAGCCTTGCCTCTTAGCCTTCCAGTCAACTGGTGGTTTACCTTAGTTGGCCATGTTAATTTCTGACATTAAAGCTTGATCTAGCACATCAACATAAATGGGCAATTTTAACAGATTCACCCTTTCCAGGATGTCATTGTGAAGACCATTTTCAAACTTTCTCGCTTTTTTATAGTCAGTGTCAACCATATGTGGAGCGAATCTAGCCAATTCAGTGAACTTGGCTTCATTCTCAGCTACAGTCAGATTGTCTTGCTTCAGTCCTTCAAATTCCGACACCTTTCTATCACGGACACACTGTGAAAAATATTTCTCATAAAAGAGTGCAAGAAACTGTACCCCAATCAATGCCCTGGTTATCATCACGGATTAGCATCCACCACCTTCTTACTTCATCTTCCAATGTAAAGGTGGCTAATTGTACTTTCTGTGTCTCCAGGCATGGGAATACTTTAAAAAACTTCTCAATACCAAGGACCCAAGCTTCGGCCTTCAATGGGTCCACACCCCCGTGGAACGATGGTGGCTTCATTTTCTTGAATTCTTAGTGAGAGCTATTGTTCGGTCATCATTCTGCAAATCCGGTATAGGTTGTATTGGAGGTGGGGGTTGCGGGGGTTGCTATTGTTGTTGCCACTGCTGTTGTTACCTTAGTGTTTCTGCCATATCTTGCATCATTCTCTTCATTCGGTCTAGCCGAGCAGTGGAAGATTATTTTAGCTCATCAGTTCTTGTTTTCGCCATTATCTAATGAAACTTGCATTATAATTCATACAGAAGATAGACACAATATTCATATACAGAAAGAGCACATTCATACGATTAGGCAATAGTTATATATCATACAGTTGCATACTTCGAGTCACTTGGCAATTTCTCAATGCATTCAAGCATATATTTATCATATGAATGCAACTTAGATCTTTCTAGACACTCTATTGCTCATTTGGACAGGTGTGTGAGTTATTACTCGTGCTCTGATACCACTCTGTCATGACCCAAATCCGCCCCTATGGGTTAGAGTCATAACTGGCTAGTAATCATGAGACTACCTACGGCCTCAGTCAAGAATCAAATCACATTTAATAATAGGGAGCCAAATTACGGAAGCAAAATTTACAAAGATTGTCCAATTAGCTGTGCATACATGGCTCAATCAAAACATTCTCATATGTGTAATAACTCACACTATACAAGCATTCATATTATGAATGTATTACATAAGTCCAGGATCATTCAAAATTTAATATTAACAAGAACCAAGGTTATACACAGATTTGGTCATACGTGACCACAAAAGAACAAAAGGAAAAGCAAAACAAAAGTAAGGCCTCTTGCATGAGGTGATCTTGGTTGACTCCTCAAAACTCGGTTTCTCATTGCTCACTAGGGCTGGAGCTAGACATCCCGCTGCTCACCTACATACATATAAATAGAGGAGTGAGCTAACGCCCAGTGAATAATACCAAAGTAAAGGAGTTCATGAATGAGATTCGTTTAATTATAAGTTATAAACTAAACTTGTTGATCGATATCAACGCAAAACGACCTTAGGTCCAACACATCATATATCATGTCCATATTCATATACCAAACGACCTCGGGTCCAACTCGTATTTGCAAAACAACCTTTGGTCCTTTATATACAGAACGACCTTGGGTCCAATTCATAGGCACAACGACCTTCGTTCCAATATATGCGAAACGACCTTGGGTCCATCATATGTAAGACAACCTTGGGTCCAATTCATGTACAAAACGACCTTAGGTCCAACCATCCATATTCACGTTTGTGCGCACTCATGATCCATGATCATGTTCACATTCACCTTCGCATTGAAAACGACATTAGGTCCAATCATTTCTTTATTCGAAATGGCCTTTGGCCCATTTCACAGTTATACAAAACGGCCTTAGGCCCATTTTATATCTTCTTCAAGTAAACCGAACAGTCTTGTGCCCATTTCATAGTCTTTTATCAATACTTCATATATTTCACATATTTCATTGCGAACCAAGTGGATAGAATACTCATTCACAATATCAAATCAGAAGTTAGAAACTTACCACACAGGTAACATTTAGAAATAATATATACACAAATTATCTTTGCTAAGATATTACTCACAGTATTCCGGTGTTTGATTTGTCCTTACACTTGACCCTATATAATTCATAACACATTAGGTCATAATACTATTCGATATGTTCTTTAGTTTGCTTAGTGTTCTTAGGCTTCTTTCGTGTCCTTTAATTCATTTAGGATGCTCAATGTATGCCTAAGAATACTCATAAATGGAAGAGAACAGAAATTGGAGCATGATGCAGCTTTTCAAAAATTCTGAAATAGGGCACCTCACTCGAGCGTCGCTTTGGTCGCTCGAGCAGTCTGTAAAACTTTGTAAAAGTACTGGTTGCATGAATTTTATGCTCGCGCGAGATTTCTGTCGCTCGAGCGACAAGCCACGCAAAACAAGGTTTGCTCGAGCACAAGGTTTGCCACTCAAGCTACCTTGCAATTCTCTGCAAAACTTTTGGGAGCTTGCATTTTACGCTCGAGCGACCTACACGAACTTTGGGTTTTCTAGAATTTTGTTTGAACTACAAACACACATTCAAGGGCCCAATTTCATGCTTGACTCACCCCAAATATGCAAGAACACTCCCAAATACATATATTTGAAGTTAACTCAACCCATAGTTCACAATTCCATGGATTTAACAAAATTCGAACCGTAAACTCGATACACTTATAGTTCATGTTCTATATCATGCATTTACAAGCTTTGAGACTAAAGATTGGACTTCAAAACATAGCAATTCATGCATGCATGTATCAAACAATCCTTAATTCCACATGATTAACATGCTATATGGTCAAATATGAAGATTTATGGCAAATTTCTACATGCATATACATCTTGATCATGTTTCCTATCGTCTTAGCTCAATTCATGATCTTAGCTACAAACTCATTTTCAATTCATATTTTTATGAGCTTAAACTTATGAATGAGGGTTCAATTACTTAGAACCTTTGAATCTTCTAGATCTTAGCCAGTTCTTGAGTTAAGCCTTCCAATTCTTCAATCACCAAGCAAGCCCTCCAAGTTGAGCTCCCTCTCTCTCTAATTCTCCCTTCTCACCCTCTCTAAAGTGTACATCTCAGATTTTGAGCTCAAGAAATGAGCTTAAGCACATTTAGCTTCTATATATATGCTTCCCTAATCAAGCTTAATTAGAACTAATTAATTGTGCTTAATTTAATCAATTTAATCTAATTTATTCGATCTGAATCAACTTTTAATTAAATCTCACTGTAGGCTCTAAAAATTACGCTAATTGCAATAACACAGTCAATTTCGGTTTCTGTAGCCTCTACGCCCTTCAAATTCAAATTATAACAGAAAAGCAAACAGATTTCTCTACGGTGGACAGATATAAGTTCGAAATCACGTCTAATCACATAATTAGTATTCAAATTTACACCACGCACATAATCAAAAGTATTGTTAACAATTAATAGTATATCATAGAACAGGGTTGTCACACACATCCCTTAGGAGACTTTGGCCGTCTTAACTTTGATTAATCAAGAAAATTTATTTGTCTGGAACAATCAGATGGTGATTAAGACACATGAAATTTTTGGTGTTTACAAACCTAATGCAGTTATTTGTCTTAGTTCACCAGGCTTTCTGATATTCTGTTCTGTTTTATTTTCTAAAAAGCTAGTAAGCATAAAATTCAGAATTTCACGTTCTTTTCTTTTCTCCATTCCTGAGCAGCCAAACCAAAGTAGATAGGAGGTACTCCTGGGAATTTTTTGCTGATACTTTATTGAATTCCTTGCTTTTGCTCAATTTTTTATTTTTTATTTTATTTTATTTTATTTTTAAGAACTCTTAATTTGAATTCAGTGCTTTTGTTTGATCTTATTGTTACTCTAGTTGACTAAAATAAAATTTTTTGTAATTCAATTCACTACTGCTGTTAGCTTGGAAGGATCTCATGTCACCCCAAGAAGGGAAGATTTAGAATTAAAGTCACTAGTGAGTGTGCCTTACTTAAAAGTTAAAAAATTACTAGTTTGGGTGTGTCTTACTTATCATGGGAGGGGGAAAAAAAACAAAAAAAAACAAAAAAACAAACAAAAAAACAAACAAACAGAAAGGAAAGAGAACCTAATAAATTAATTTGTCAACAATGTCTGTTATTATTTAAATGTTTTATGAGCTTTCCATGAACGAATCAGTTTGTTGTTATTATTTTGCTAACTTCCGTTTGCTATTTTTATGCACTAGAGCAGGCAAATAAATTGCAATGGACGCTTGCATCTGTTCCATTAATTAAAGCTTTGCAACTCACTCTATCATTCCTCTTCTGGTACGTCCTACTTGTAATAAATAATGAAATGCCTATAATCTTTGTCATGAGACAGAAGCAAAAATTAAAAAGTAGAATGAAGTTCTCTTTTTGCAAATTTAGAGCTCCAGCAATGCTTTTGCTACTGGGCTAGGCATTCTATTGCAACCAGAAGAGAACTGCAGATTTGTGTACTATGGAACATGATCATTACTTTGTTTTTTTCTTTGACATACTATATTGCGAGACCCTTCAGCACTCAATATAATTGAGTCCAAATGTCACGTCATATAAATCTGCATACATACACACAATCATACAATCATATATATACATGCAAGTAGGAGGTGAAAACTTTGGAGGCTTCTACAAAAAATTTAAACAGCATGATTGGTGTTAGCATGTTATTTTTGAATTTCTGGTAATGAGGCATTTCTCAACATAATTGTAATATCCATTCCAATTGTCTTGGTTCTCATTTCTTTTGTTGCGGAAACTATACTCAGATTTCAGAGCAATGTTCTTGCAGGTATTCATGCTTTAATCTTCACACGTGCTCTCTGTGGATGTCATTTGGGGTATATGTAACTGGGGTGCTCTTTCAGACTACTTCTTTTGTGTCCTTCTTGCTCATTTCCCATGGTTACTGCATTATGTGTGAGCGTCTTTCAGTGGCTGAACGCCGTACTACAGCTGCACTGGGGTGTGCCTTCTACTTGACTCTTGTTGGTTACAGAGCATCTGTACCTTACTTCTCGGTGAGTATTCTCATCTTGGAAAGCTGTAATAATTACACTGGTGCTTTTTATTTATTTGACTAGTTCTTCTACCTGAGACACTAATGCCCTTCAATTTTTTTACGTTTTTTTTCAATCCAGGTCCTTCTGCTCCTTAATTATATCGTTTCCTTCTATCTGATATTTCACCACATATCTCGGAATCTGTTAGTTCTAAAGGAACAATTAGCTTTTATAGAGGATGAAGATGTCCATTTGATGCATGATGCAATTTATACAAAATACATTATGTTCAAGTACGCACTAAACATCCAATGCTGTGTGTGTGTGTGTGTGTGTGTGCATGCGCGTGCGTGCATTTGAGTTCACGCTTGTGCATGTGTTAGTGTGTTTTGGATTCCCATGATATGGTCTTATGTTGTATATAAATGGCCTTTACAGAGATATTAATTTTTAATTTTGGTGTATTGTTTGTATTTCACTGTCCAGGAAGTTTCAAGGTGCGATGCAGATCATAGCAGTGGCAGAATTTGCGGTATGAGTGTACTGATTTTATTGATTTTTTAAATTATATATAAAAAGGTCACATATGGAACCTTGATCCCCTGACAATTAAGCTTTTTAATTTTCAGATATACATTAACATGGATGGCTCCTTGGAAAACTATTGGCTTCGATTGTTTGTTCGAGAATGGGCACAATTTTGCATCTTTCTATACATCGGGTGTGTAAGAATTATATATCATTATGGATTTACCTTCCTTCTTGACACTTCAGTTCTCACTTATTCATGAACTTACTGACCATGACTAGATTCAGTATACTCCTACAACATACATAATTGTTCCTTTGTTTGCCTTCAAACCCATTCTAGTGTTCATTGTTCATTGTTTTTCTTTTTTGTTTTGACAGATGGATTTTCAGGTCACAAGACTTGGCACCACATTTCTCTGTTATGCCCACACTAAAGTCTAAAGGGCAAGCAACAGTGCCTCCCATCTACAGCGTTGTAAGTTCTAATGGGAATAGATTTGAATGCTACAAAAGAGTTACCCCAGCTAAGGTTTTTTCGGTGAAATTTTTACTGTGTATACTTCATCCAACAAAAACTGGTATCCCTCCCTTGTTCATGTGTCCAATAATGTTTGTTCATTGTTGAGAATCAAGCCATGAAGTGTTTTCAATTTCTACAATATCCAACACCATCTAAATTCAACGCAGAATAGTGAGAGGACACCATTGAAAACATCAAAATGGGTCAAGCATGTCGCTTATATGGTTGGTCATTATGATGGAGGAAGTAATAGATACTGAAACAATATACTCAGGGTGACATTTGAACATTTTCTATTGTATATAAAGTGATTTAATGAATATAGCATGTCTAGCGGACATTCCACCTATTACAAGAAGCTTAAAAGGTGGTCCAAACAAACTATCCTATAAATTTATATTGAATATAAAGTGATTTCAATGGATATAACATATCTAGCAGACAATCCACCTATTACAAGAAGCTTAAAAGATGGTCCACACAAACTACCCTAAAAAAGGTGGTTCAAGCCAAATTTTGTAATTGTGCAGTTAAGAAAAAGTTAAATGAATTTGAGATATGCTTATGCTTTCCTGATTTCTCATAAGATAACTCGTGTTACTGCAGGAAATGGATGCAGCAACATTTGAAGATTTTAGTAGTAATGAATGGCATATTGGGGTGGTAAGTAATGGCACAGCTCAAATTCACAGACATACGTGGATATGTTTGCAAAATCAGTAGTAGTCCATCTATTGTCTTAGAGGTGTTATCCACCAACTGCCTGCTTACCTGCATATGGTCCCTTGATTTTTCAGAAACCAAAGATCAAGGACCTGTTTGGTGTAGTTTTTTATAAGCTGAAAACTGATAATCAAAAAGTAGAAGCCAAAAGCACTTATCCCCCAGCTTTTAGATAATTAGCTTTTTCAGCTTATTTAAATATTTCTGCCTAATATGATAGAAATTGTACTATACAGTCTAAAGCAAACTCCCAAATAAAAAATAAAAAATAAACTATGAGCATCACATATAAGCTACACCAAACAGATTTTGACAATGCTAACTTTGGTTAATGTATATTGTTTAATATTTATGTTATTGGTTTATATTTATGCTGACATGTACTTGTACCTCTTTGTAGCCAACAGCCCCTTCCCATGGCGAAAACTCGAGGGATTCCATTCTAGTAATAATTCAGCATCCCCATGCATATAGGTTGACTTCAGTCAATACTATGTCACCAAGCTTGGCTCGTGTTGTAGCTAATTCTTCCACGGATGCCGATTCAGGTTCTTTTTTCCAACAGTCATGAACAAAGCAAATTCTTAGGATGAAGTGGTTCAAGATGTTTGTTCACATAAATCGACTGATTGTAAGACGGATCCATGAAAAGTTTCAGCACATAGTTTTGAGTTTTATTCGTCTTTGCTACATAGTTTTTCTTGTTATAGAAACCTAAAAGCAAGATTATTATTTTTATTTTTTTTGTCGGCAAGGGGGATCTTTGGGTTCGAACGCCTTGGGGTCTGGTGCTTTTCCATTTCACCAAGGGATAGTCTGGGGACCCAGACTTACCCACCCAGAATTTTCTGGGCGGGTGATTTTGTGGTAGAGATTAATTTGTGTAGTGTGGGGTTCATGTAAGGTGTGGTGGAGATTAATTTCTAGGTAGTTTCTAAGTTAATAAGAGTGGGTTTGTAGTATTACTCTTTCACCAGTGGCCCTAGAAAAAGCAAAGATATGCAAGTTCTGTAAACGCTATTTCATTTCAGTTGGGCTAAAAACCTGCAGCCCGTTAGTTATGTATCTGAAAATATTGTTGATTAATGAAAACTGTATATTCTTTCCCCGTTGTGTTGGCTTACTCGTGCACTGAATTTTATTTTTCTAAGCATAGTTGTGAATTATGATAATTGCTCCATTAGTCCCTTTTTTCACCATAATAGTTGCAGTGCTTGGAAGGAAAATCACATCCATGGAAATCTTTCTCGACTTTCCTAAACTAGGTTGCTTGAAAGTAGTCACTGAACTTGATTGGGGCTAACATTTCTGTGTCTCTAAATTTCTCACTTCCTATAATATTTTGAGACGAGACAAATTTGGAATAGAAGATCACATGCCCTTGATTGGTGAAGAACATGAATAGATCCATTAATACTTCAACGAAAACGGTGAAATTCAAAGAGAAATAACAAAAATTCTCCCATTGTTGACCAGATTTGCTGCGTAATTCTGAGCAAAATCAAATTTTGAGACAGAAAGGGGTAAAGAAGGTGTACTGGGGACTACAAATAAAATTGTTGCTCTAACTACTACTTATTATATGTGTTGGCCTTGAAACTATATATCAAGCTATTGAATTTGCTTAGATCTAATATTCAAAGCAACATTATGTTTGGTGGTGCAGAATAGCAATTGAAAGTTTTGAAAGTGCAAACTCATTGGTTTGGCTATAACTCGGGATGTGTTTGGATCAATAATTTGAATGAGGACTTGTGAAGGGAAAGGAAAATAGAGATGATACTTCTTACAGTTATTATTGGTTCCATATTCAAATGAATCAATCAAAAAGTGACACGTGGCACAAGTAACTAGACAAGAGCCATTTAATCAAGAGGAGGCACGTAGTACATTGGGGAAGAAACAAGTGGAGGGCTATAAGAGCACCATGTGGTAATTCGCCGTTGGTTTTAAGTTGCAATTAGATGTTAAGATCTCGAAGAAGTTAACTGTCTTTGGAGAGCCACGAAAAAGCAAGTAATGCACTTCAGAATTTGAATTCAAAGCTAAGGGAAGAACCCACAAATGTAGTCAAAATGGTGGAGATCGTGACGGTTTTTGTGGATTTGAAGGACATCTATAAATAACTGGAAAGAATAACAGAGAAAGCCCCCAAATAAATCATACATGTACCAATTTCTTGTTTACTCTTTGCTCTGCACTTTACTCTTCATAGGAGTGATTTTGACTTCAAATCTGTATTTCTCTTCTGGTTGTTCACCCTTCAAATTGTCAGAACAAATAAAATAACACTAGTGTAATTACATTATTCAATTCATCAATTATATTATTTTTGTCTCAGTCTCTTCCTCCTATTCTACGTGTGCATTTCATCACAGATCTCTCAATTCATTAATTGATTCACACTAATACACAAGCATTTAAGCCAATCTTCATGGAGGCAATTTTTTTTTTTTTGGATCAGTGGAGGCAAAAAGTGTTAGGTTCATGGACACCCAGAATATAAACAACAAACAATCACACACACAAGGAAACACAAATATTTACGTGGTTCAGCCCAATGCCTTCGTCCACGGACAAAAACGAGAAATTCACTAAAACAGAGCAAATACAAATTAGAGGGAGAGAACAACTCTCACTCAACTCACAGCTCTCTATCTCTCAAGTTTCTAATACAATTCATCCTCTCCCTCCCATCTCTATTTATACACACACACACACAGAGAGAGAGAGAGATACCAACCCACCAAAAAATTCTACCTTCTTAATGGTGAGTGTCAACAATGGCAACAACGTGAAGAGAAGGGAGATGCCCAGCTCACACCTCTTTCTCTTGAGGTGGAAGTCTTCTTATGCCATGTTTGCTTTGCATGCATGTAAGGTTGGATCTAACAATTCTCCCCCTCCACACCCACCTGCATGACTGACTTCTCACTTAAAGTTCATCCCTGCAATGTCTCTACAAATTTCGAGTTTGTTTCTCGAGGCCACCTTTGTAAGCATGTCAGTTGGATTCTTATCTATGTGGATCTTGATCAGTTCTAATAACTGCTTTTCCATCACTTCACCTATCCAATGATGCCGAACATCAATGTGCTTTGTGCGAGAATGATACATTGAATTGTTGCTCAGGTCTGTGGCACTTTGGTTATCACAATGTACCGTGAACTTTTCTTACTTTAATCCCAACTCTTGGAGAAACCGCTTTAACTACAACATCTCTTTCCCAGCTTCTGCTGCGGCAATATACTCTGACTCGGTTGTGGATAACGCAACACACTTTTACAGCTTGGATTGCCAAGACGCAGCTCCCCCTGCAAAAGTGAACAGAAATCCTGATGTAGATCTTCTACCATCAAGATCTCCTACCATATCTGAATCTGTATAGCCTTCCAAGACTGGTTTAGCATCTCTAAAGCACAAATACATTTTTTCCGTACTCTTGAGGTATCTCAGAATCCACTTGACTGCTTTCCAATGCTCTTTATTGGAAAAGAATCTGCTTACTACTCCAACAGCATGAGCAATATCTGGTTGGGTGGACACCATTGTATACATGAAACTCCCTATGGCAGATGAGTAGGGAATAGCCTCCATCTCTTCTCTTTCTTTTGTAGAGGAGGGACAAGAACTCTTGCTCAGCTTGAAATGATTAGCCAGCGGAGTACTGACTAGCTTGGCATCTTTCATGCTGAACTTCTCAATCACCAACGTACCTCTCCTGTGACAGCCATAACTTCTTGACTTTTCTGTCACGCATAATTTTCATGCCAAAAATTTGCTATGCAGGGCCTAGGTCCTTCATGTCAAAGGACTATGATAACTCATTCTTCAGTGATCTGATTACTGTGGCATCCTATCCAATGATCAGCATGTTATCAACATAAAGCAGGAGTATGATGAAGTTTCCACCAGGAAATTTCCTAACATAAACACACTAGTCTGCAACAGTTCTTTTGTACTCATGACCTATCATGAATGAGTCAAACTTCTTGTACCACTGTCTCGGCGCTTGTTTGAGGCCATAGAGACTCTTCTTCAATCTGCAGACTAAGTTTTCTTTCCCTTTGACTTCAAAACCTTCTGGCTGCTCCATATAAATTTCTTCCTTCAAATCAACATGGAGAAATTCCGACTTCACATCCATCTGTTCAAGTTTCAAATTCAAACTGGCCACTAGTCCCAAAACTACTCAAATGGATATCATTTTCACAACTGGCGAGAAGATTTCATCAAAATCAATACATTTCTTCTGCCTAAAACCTTTGACAACCAATCAGGTCTTATACTTGACTAGCTTCCCGTTGCCATCTTTCTTCAACTTGAACACCCATTTGTTCTTCAGTGCTTTTCGACCTTGGGGAAGTTTTACCAAATCATAAGTCTGATTTTTCTGCAAAGACTGCATCTCTTCTTGCATAGCTTGCTGCCAGCTACTATTCTCCTTATGATTTTAAGCTTCTTGAAAACTTTCTGACTCTCCCTTATCAGTAAGCAAAATATACTCAGAAGCAGGGTATTTTGACGATGGTTTAGGCTCTCTTGTTGATCTTCGTAACTGTGGACCAACAGTCTCTGGTGGAGGGGGTTGTGGCTCCCCCCGCTCAACACCTTCTGTTTCTAGATCTTCTTCTTTTGGAAATCCATCTTGCAACTCTACATCATTGGCTACATACTGCGGTAGCTCTTCTTCATTAGTGGCATGTTGTGATGGTATAAGATTGGGAATAATTTTTAAAACATCATCAACTTTGGGTTTGGCTGGCTGCCCAAAGTTTTCTAAGGTCTGGCCTTCTTGAAACACCACATCTCGGTTTCGAATGACCTTCTTGTTTTTCAGATCCCACAAGTTGTATCCAAATTCTTCATCTCCATAGCCAATAAAGATGCATGGAGTGGCTTTATCATCCAACTTCTGTCTGTGCTCCTTGGATACATGTGCAAATGCTTTGTACCCAAACACTCTCAAGTTAGAGTAGGATATCTCCCTTCCAGACCATACTTTTTTCTAAAATCTAAAAATTCAGTGGAACTGATGGCGATCTGTTGATCAAATAGCAGACAACACAAATAGCTTCTCTCCAAAATGACTTTGGCAGCTTTGCCATTTCGAACATACATCTGACCTTCTCCACAATGGTCCAGTTCATTCTTTCGGCTACACCATTGTGTTGTGAGGTTCCAGGAATAGTATTCTCATATCGGATGCCGCAAGTAGCATAGCAGGCTTCAAACTCCTTTGACATATACTCACCTCCATTGTCTGTTCGGAGACACTTCAACTTTTTTTCGGTCTCCCTTTCCACCAATGTCTGAAAATACTGAAACACCTCAGCTTTGGTCTTTAGAACATAAACCCATACCTTCCGTGATACATCATCAATAAACGTCGGGAAGTATTTTCTCTCACCCAAAGATTCCACTTCTATGGGACCGCTTACATCAGAATATACTCTATTACAACAACTCTGATTGTCTTCTAAATAATGAGTGAAAAGAGACTCTATGATGCTTCCCAAATAAGCAATTGTCACAAGGATTCAATTTCGCATCTTTGGCAAAGGGAATAAGAGACTTCTTTGCCAGAATGCAACCCTTTTTTACTCATGTGACCCAGCCTTTTGTGCCACAAATTTGGTGACGCCTCATCTTTTGCTGCGTTGAGGCTATCTGAATTCATCTCCACATAAGTCTTGTACAATGTGCCAATTGTCTGTCCTCTGGCTATCACCAAAGATCCATTTTTCAACTGCCATATGCCTTTGCCGAAGTAGTTCTCATAGCCTTGTCAATCTAAGGCTATCCTTGAGATAAGATTAAGGCGTAAATCGGGAGCATGCCTGACATCTTTCAACACCATCGTGCACCCAACTTTGGTTTGGATGTGAACATCACTGATTCCTATAATCTTCGAAAAACTGGAGTTACCTATCTTCACTGTACCAAAATCTCCAACTTGGTACATACTAAAAAACTCCTTCCGGGATGTAGCGTGGTAAGAAGTTACTGTAACTACCACCCACTTGGTGTTGTTGTCTGACATATGGAGGCATTCTTCTTTTTCAACAGAGAATAATACAATATCCTCTAAGACAGTAACTGCAGTGTT